GCTAGTGATTATTTAAGGCATTTTTAAGTAAAATATCACAGTTTCCTGTTCCATTAGAATTAGATGAATTGTTGTGTTTTCTGTTTGTTTTTGTATTTGTTGTGGGACCTCGTGAAAGGAAGGTTTATCCTTATACAAAAATAAATAATTCTAAATAAGCAATATACAGTATATTATCAGTAAGTTGAGATCATATCAAGTAGTTCCCCTGCATTATCACAAAGAAGCAAGTGTAAAAAATAATTACACAAATTAAAGCTGGCAACAAGCAAGAAAGCAGCCCGGCCCTGGACAAGCGTAATTGTCTGTTAATTATTCAATCAAGTAATCGGTTGAAATGAATTGTTTTATACAAAATGTCCATTCTACAAAAGCTCAAATGGTGACTCATATTATTCTATGTCCACATTCTACTTGTGTAAAGCCCCTGGTAGCACTACTGCTATTTTGACCATAAAATGGCCCATTACCCAGGCTCCCCACCACACACATATTCACGTAGCCTTCGTGACACCATCTCTGACTCATAGCCCTGTCAGACAGTTTTTGCACTTTGCCACCAGGACAGAGCCGATGCAGCTGAGACAAGTGGCCACTAATCCTACTATAAAATGCAGTGAGAGTGTATGGGGACAGTTTAGTGGCTAAAATAGTATCCTGTCATGCTTTATGGTGAGTGAGTCATGTAGAACGAGGCCAAGTCACTGAGAAGCGCACAAATATGCCAGACTTGCTGTGATAAGTGGGAGGCACTGTAGGAGAGCCATGAGCTTAGAGGAAGAGCAATAAAGGATTTCAAAAGGAGACAGGTCATTCTAACTGGTTTTGAAAAGGTCACTGGTGAGCTTATCAAGTTAAAATGTAAAAACCAAATGCTTCTAGGAGAGCCATGAGTTTAGAGGAAGAGCAATAAAGGATTTCAACAGGAGACAGGTCATTCTAACTGGTTTTGAAAAGGTCACTGGTGAGCTTATCAAGTTAAAATGTAAAAACCAAATGCTTCCCTCTTCTCAGAGAATCCTTCTACACTTGTCTGAGAAAAAAAAGAAGTAAATGTTCAGTAAGGAAATAAAATGTATCAGTAAAATAGACAACAAATGAAACAGGAAGTGCAGTCAAAGAGTCAGAGCATCTCACTGAATGGGTCAGATAGGTGCTCATCTGTTTACTGCAATCCTGAATAATGTAAATACTATATATCTGAGTGTTCTGTTACTGTACTTTCAAGAAATAGCTTCCTCTTTTAGCAGGTTTATAATAGAACCCAGCATGTGTGAATTATAAAAGGGCATTTGTGTGTTCCATTTCCACAAAGGGGTTTGCATTTAAATTGTTCAGTGACACAAAATAATGAAGCAATTCAGAGGTGACTCAGGCTTTTTGAGCTCAGCAAAGTGACCTTTGTGTGGGAGAAGAGTGTCTGCAACAATTTATTAAAGGTTCACTGAATGCTTGACTCAAATGAGGATTTATTTTTGCAGACATAAATACATGCAAAGACATATGCACACACAGTTTCACATGGTGTGCTGATTGCTCCCTTCCCTTGTTTTCTCATGATTGTGCCTATGCAAATTAGAATGTCTGGCTACTTGAATGGGATTGAAGGCTGGAGGTGATATACAGTAGGTGTGTGGCCCTAGCTCAGCCCCGACTGGACTGGAGTAGCAGCAAGGTGATCTACCAGTCCAATGATAGCGAAGGTAGATAAGTTACCACAGTGATCAACCCCAGATATAAGTGAGCCAGCTTTGTGGTACCAGAAAACTCAAGCTAAGTGCAAAGTTAGCTGTACAGCCTACAGCCTACTAATCTTTCTTCATGGTACATGGCCCTGGACGTGCGCACACACACACACACACACACAATCTGCAGAGTTATAATGTTGTTTCTTGCCTCTAACTGAGGCAGATGAGATTTTTCCCCTCTGTTAGGAACGTAAATGTAGAAGATAATAGAGTTTGCTGTGGCAAGAAAGCAAAAGCGACTAGCCAGGCGAGCAAACACATTGAAAATGAATCCCATCAAAAGAAAAAAAAATTGAAATAAACACTACTCATGCCAAGAAAACAGGCAACAAGTAGGTTCATTCTAATTGCTCCCAGGTGGGATGCTGTCTTCCAGTCAGGTGCTCAGGTCTCTGCCTGCTCATGTTTCTGAGGCAGAAATCTATTGTGGGAGAGTATTCGGGTGTTGAAGGTTATCAGAAATAGCCTTCCAGTGTTTCTTTTTCTTGGATTAGGTTGCCTTTAAGTGCAAATATGTAAAATCTCTGGGGAATCAATGGAATCCATTCCTGAATATGGATTAACAAGCTTCTCTACCATTTTCTCATTTTGGCTGCCTTGGATAATGTGATCTGAATGCATGCATGTGCATATAAAGTGTATGTGATCATGTATGAAGAACCAAGGTAGGGGATACATGTGTTGCAATAAAGATTCACTAGTGTTAAGAGAAACAAAGAATGGGAGGGCAGACATGAATGCATAAAATCTGAATTTTTGATGTGGCTAGTACTAGACCTCTGAATCTTCATCCTCATTGACATTTTTTCCAGTTATTTAAAAAGGTCTGGTTTTGTGCTCTCTGCTAGCTGTTAGCTGATTCCTCTTGCTAAACAACCAGCTACTCAAAGCTTGGATGGCAACTCTCTTTGCCTGTGTCGGAAAAATAGCTGCATCCATTTAAAAAAAAAAAGGCAACAGGAAAATTGCCACATAATTGGTAAATAATTGGTTAACAATTGTGGATGGGACTCTCACAGCTGTATAGGTCATTACTACAGTGCCTTGCGAAAGTATTCGGCCCCCTTGAACTTTGCGACCTTTTGCCACATTTCAGGCTTCAAACATAAATATAAATCTGTAATTTTTTGTGAAGAATCAACAACAAGTGGGACACAATCATGAAGTGGAATTAAATTTATTGGATATTCCAAACTTTTTTAACAAATAAAAAACTGAAAAATTGGGCGTGCAAAATTATTCAGCCCCCTTAAGTTAATACTTTGTAGCGCCACCTTTTGCTGCGATTACAGCTGTAAGTCGCTTGGGGTATGT